GGCTCCGCGCCCGCCTCTCGCCCTTCCCCGCCTCGCCCTCGGTCTCTCTCCGAGTCTCCCCCTCTCCGCCTGTCCGCTCTTCTCCCTTTTCTCCCGACGCCTCCGCCTGAAGCCGCTGGCGGAGCCGGGCCCTCTCCCACCCTCAGAGCCGCGGGTGCGGCGGCTGCAGCGGCCCCAGGAGGGAGTAGGGGTCTGGGGCCCTTGGGGGTGGCGCACGGAAGTCTCGGGTCCTTAGGGAGGTGGAGCACGGGGGGCGGATCTTGAGTCCTTGGAGGACCCCCCGCCACCTCGGCCTCTCTGCGGCTGGGCCCTGCAGCGCCTCCCTCCCGCCACCCAGCCAGAGGAGAAGTTTGGAAGAGAATGGCTTTGCGGCACAGGCGCTCTGCGCCAGCCTCTGAGGGGCACTCCCTGCCCGCCACCCTCCCTGGCCCACACGCGGCTGCCTTCATCTGCAGAAGGAAAGCCGTGACACCGTGGATCGCCAGGGACCTGGGCTTCCCTGGCAGGAGCGACCCCACGGGGCGAGGGGGCACTGCAGCGGCCAGGATTTTACAGAAAGTGCCTCCCCAAGGGAGCGCCACCGGCCTGGGTGGGCACTGGGGACCTGGAGTGCCCCACCCCATGCAGAAGCAGGTGGGGGGTGGCTGCCCCATTCCTGCTTGTTCCCGGAAGGCCACGACCCCCGAAGTTTCTCTCCCCACCCCAATCTCTTCTACTGTGGGCCAGAGTGGGAGGAATCTCCTTGGGATAGAACCTGACTTTCCAAGACCCCTTGGTCAGAAGTCACAGGAACCTTCCCTGACTGGCCCCTGCCCGAAGACCCACCCTCCCTGACCCTTCTCCATAGCCGAAGCCACTGAGGAGGTGGCCCCGGACAGCCCCTGAGCTGCAAGGCAGAGCAGTCACCTTCAAATGCCCCCTGGGCCCCGCCCCCGCTGCACGCAGGCGAATGCCAGACTGCGCTGAGCTGGGTCCCCCCAAGTTGTGAGCTCCCCTCCCTGCAGAGACAGCTGAGAGCTGGCTTCAGAAATTCTAGGGGCTGCATGGGACTGGGGTTCTGGTCTGGGTATGTGGGCAGGAACCCCCCTCACGCAGGAACTTTCCAAGTACCCCTTCCTATGAAGGCATCCAGACCACATGGCATTAAGGAGAGGGACCCAAAGCTTGGGCTCAGGAAAAGGCCAGACGGAAGCGAGGAAGAAGCCCTCCCTCCAGCCTGGTCAGGGTGACCTGTGACCACTTTGCTTTCTCCCAGGTAGAGAACCCCTGGCCATCCTTCAATGTGAGTTCTGACCCTTGGAGGAGTCACTGAGGAATCCAAGCCATTGCCATGGAGTTTGTGATGAAACAGGCCCTGGGAGGTAGGAAATGGGAGTGGGAGAGGGGGCCTTGGGGCTTGGCCACTGGGACAGGCAGACCAGAGAGCTCCAGAGAGATACGTCATACCAGCTGCTCCTCTGCTGGCCTGCTGCAGTGGCATGGCTCATTCCCACTGCAGACCCCACACATGGTCTGTGTAGATACTTCTGTACACCTCTCCACACAAGCCATGGGGGGAGGGGCACAAGGTGTGCCCAGCACCACCCAACCCAGTCCTTGCCAAGTCCCTGTGCCAGCTTTGGTGCTAACAGGACCAGGAGGAGGCTGCTTGTGTAAGTTCACTCTGCCCCCTGCCATGGTTGGGGCAGAGCCCACAGAAGTGCTGAACCGGGTCAAAGGCAGGAGGTGGACACCCTAGGGTGGATTTGGGGGCCAATCCTAACTGAGACAGGGCTAGGGGTTTTGCTCATGTCAGCAGGGTCATGGGAGACAGAAGACATGGGTGATGGCAGCAAGAACAGGAGTAGGGACGGAGCTGACCTATGCATGCGGTGAGGATCCTATGGGTTTCACCTGGGGAAGGGTACAGCACTGTTTGCAGGGAGCCAGGGCTGCTGGACACAGGAGCAAAAGAAGAGACCAGAACAGCTTATGTGACCCGTCTGCCTCCCAGGGGGCAGTGCGGCCTTTTTTGTGTGTACTGGGGGAGGGCAGGCCCCCTTCCAACCTGCTGATTGCTATTTGAAGGGAATCAGGTCTCCACTTGGCCCAAGGCCATGCCTAGGTCTGGAAGGCAATTGAGGACAGGGTGAATCCCTGGCCCAGGTGGCGACATGATGGGGGCTGAAGTCCATGCTGCACAGACGTGTCCTGCAGAGCCATCGAGTCAGCTCAGGCCCACAGGCCTTGGGTTTTCCTGGGTGAGGCTTGGTCCTGCCCAGAGCCATTCATCCTATGTGCCCAGCTCCCCTGGTACAACCCCAGCACCCGAAGCTCCTGGAATGGGCTTCTGTGGCCTGTGTCTGATTCCACCTTTAGAGATGTCTTTCTTGGGTGGTAGCCTCACCCTTCCACCAGTGTCAAGTGTCACCCTTTGACCATCCTGACCTGGTGTGGTTCACAGCTTGGTGTGAGCTGAGCCGCCCTGGGAGCCTTTCTCCAGAGGAATGCAGGGGTGAGGGGTATGGGGGAGGGATGCTGGAGCCCCAGGACAGGGGCTCCCTGCGTGAGTTTTCTTTTGGAGGGTGTCTGTGCTTCCACTCAACACAGATGAGATGGGAAGTTGCTGAGGCTGACTTGGTGCTACATCTCTGGGATCTCATGGTCAAGGGGAGACTGCAGGTTGAGACTAATTATAATGATTACGTCACCAGGACGTGATTCAGGGACAAGCCAGCATCCGGCACTGGGAGGGACCTGTGCTCTGCCTGGTGCATCCCAGGCTGTTACAGATAATTAATTAGGTGGCTAATTCAGGCCCTGAGGTGGGTTTTAAGAAAGCTAGAATATCTGATTTGGCTGTCTACGTGGCTGAAATTAGCTGGGTAATTGCCAGCCTGAATACCTCTTTGTTTCTTGTTAGCCCAAAGTTTTTCCTGCGGCAGGGACAGGGCAGACATTGTGGAGCCAAAAGGAGCAGACTGTGGCCCCTGGTCCCCTGGCCAAGCATGACGCAAACCCTTTAAGGGGCGCGGAATGCCAGAGCCAACGTTGCAGGGGCTGGGTCGCGGGTCACGGGGCCATTCCCAGGAGAGACTTCATCTCTGCTCCTAGGCTCCGTCTCTAGCTGACAGGCATCACTGCCAGTGTCTTGGGCTTAGTGTTAGAGAAAGGGTACGAGACAGAGAGACAAAGAAGCGGGGCTCCAAGCCGAGGGACAGAGACTGCCGAGACCGCAAGAGAGATATTGAGAGAAACAGACCAAGCCCTGGCCACCAGGCTGGCCTCCCGGCTGCCAGCCCCTCATCCCCAGGCAGCCATCACCCCTCAACACCCCCTCTCCCCTGTCCTGGCCTCCACCTGGCAGCTGCCTTCTTTAACACGTGTCCACCCTCATGGCCATCATCTGGACAGCAGCCCCTCGGCCACAGGCATCTTTTCAGGGTTGTTACGCACAAATCCAGTTGGGTGCATTCTTTCCTTTCACTCTGCAGGCATGTTGAGCAACTACTGCATGCAGGTGACCGAAGACTGTGGGTGCTTGTACGCAATGCCAGGGCCCCTTGAGTTGGGGGAGCAGGGCTGGGTGGGGAGGACAGTGTCCAGCTCTCAGCCACCTTATCCTTCTCACCAGAGAATCCCTCTCAGTCTTGCTGGGTCTTGGACCACCCCCCAACTTAAATCACCCATGCCAGTGCTCCAGAGAGCAGCCGGGGTTTTTACAGAAAGTGCCTCCCCAAGGGAGGGAGCTGAGGCTGTCATTGCATGGTGACAGCCCCCGCCCCCGGCTGCTGGATACAGAGGGACCCTGAGCTAAGGCCGGGCCTTCCAGCCACGTCTGCATGGATCTGTGATGCAGGGTCCTCAAGGGTATAATTTGAAGAAACTGCTTCTCCCTCAGGGCCAGTAAGAGGCGGATGGTCCTGGAGCTATATTTACACTGGAGGAGCGTGGATACTTGCTGGGTAATGTGACTGCTCTAGGCCCTTATCGGGCTGAATCGGGCAGAAATGGGTCATTGCTTTCCTGTTGTTCTGCCTTGGTATAACACACTCTGTGCCCCAAGCATGCTCAGTTCCTTGGTAAGTGCAGGGCAAGTAGATGGGAGGACTTCAAGGAAGAGGAGCCTTGGAGGACAGGCTAGGAAGGAAGGAACAAAGCAAGCACAGGCAAGGCCTGGAGGGCTGCAGTACAGGGTGGGATGGGGTGGAGTGGGGAGCAGCGCGACACTTCAGGGCCCAGCGACCACGCCTGAGGCAACCTCATCCACGAGAAGCTCTGTCCTGGGCAGTTCAGTGACTCCGGTGGCTTGGCCAGTCTGGACAGCTTCCTGCAGCCCATCCACTTGGGCCTGGGTGGTTTGACTGGGCCTGACCTGGGGGAGGGAAGCTGGTCTGGGCACTGCTGAGAGGCTGTCCCTGTCTCCAGGAGCGGCATGGGACCAGGTCCTGCGTCCAGCCCTTGGGGAGAAAAAGGAAATGAATGCCCAAGTGGGGAGGAAACTCTGCATGGACACGTCTTGTGATCAGACGAGCAAGAGGATCCAGTCACCCTGGTCGTGGAGGACAGGCCAGGCAGGACGTGCAGGGTCTGTCCCTGAGGGAGAGCCTTGGGACTTCCTGCAGTCAAGAAGTCCCTCTCCACCCTGGGGGTGGCACCGTGAGCTCTTGGCCAGAACACCCCACGGGGCTCGTGGAGTATCTGTCACCAAGGGTGTGGAGGCTGTCAGCGTCCACCTTGGGGCTTTGCTTGAGACTGCAGGGGGTAGGAGTGGGGATGGGGAAGATTCTCCATCTTTGAACAAAGACCTCCAGAGCCAGGGCCTGGTCCAGGGACACCCTTCTCTGCATCTCCCCCAGGGGCACGAGGAGCAGGGCACCTCCCTTATTCCGGGCAACAAATTGTGCTCAGCCCTCGCCCTCTGGGACCCCCATCTCACCTCCTGAGCCCCTGAGCCATTTAGGATCTGGGAGTCTTGTCCTGACCCCTCATGTCCATCCAGGTGTCTGTATCAAGGGCAAGGCTGGGTGTCTTGTCCCGTCCCAGACTGAGGTCCCGAACCTGCCTTCCCACCTTCTCTGTATTTGCCCAGGTAGGAGCTCAGCTCTGTTTGTTGGAGGCCTCTGGTGGGCTGCTGCTGGCCTAGGCCGTGGGGGACCCTGCCAGTTCCTGCAGTGACACTGAATACAAGGCCAGGCTCTCTGGCATCTGGAGGGGGGTAGTGCTACAGGCCGGGCTGCAGGATAAGTGGTGGATCCTGAGGGGAAGCTCTTGAACTCCGCATGGGGAAGATGCTTCTGGCTGCAAGTAGCAGAGAACCAGAGGGAGAGGAGGTTGAATTGGGGGACAAAGTGTCAGGAGGTAGCTCAGCCACTATGCAGTGCCTTTGGGGCCCCAGAGCCATCAGGTGCCACCTTTGTCTTCAGTAGAGCTTCATGCATAGCCTCTCCTCATAGTCTTACAGCCGCTGCTGCTGCTCCAACATCACATCCACAGTCAGGGAGGGAAGAGGGGAGCCAAGGAACATCCCCTCCATCTGCTTAGTGAAGGGCTTCTATTTAGCTGCCAGGGTGGGCACATTACCCTCCAAGCAAGGGCAGGGTGTTGGGCTCACGGGGCCTGACTCACACCCAGCTTGAGAGCTCTTGGTGTCTAGGTGCAGAACTACGGAAGTGAGACCCTAGAGAGGTGTCTGCTCCCTTCCAGACTTGCCCCTGAGAACAGGGCTTGTCTTTCTGGGCAGCCATAAACACTCAGTGATAAAATACCGACACTTGCTCAGAGTGGACCTCACAGTGCTGCGTTTCTGGAGAAAGTGCCAGCTTGTGGAGATGCCTCTTACCCAAAATCTCTTGGATCCTGGAAGGACACTTCAGAGAAGCTGTGTTTTCTACCGGAACCCTGAAGGACAGTCTTTTCCTCGGGGAGGGTGTCCCTGCATGATGAGACTGCAACTCAATTATCCATGCTTGAGCCCCACATGGGCATGAATAGGATGCACTTTGGGATATTTATTTATTTATTTAGTTAGTTATTGTCTCGTTGGCTGGCAAGAAAGCCCGGTTGGGATTAGAGTGTTTGTGTTCGTAGCTCCTGAGTGGCGGAGCTCTCAGGCTCCCTTCGCTGACATTGACACTGTTGATCTGGTCCAGGAGCATTGTGCATTTCATGCCAGGAGGCTAAATGGGGCAGGTGACAGAGAGAAGCTTTGGAATGAATGTAAGGCCAGGAAAATCCATGGTGATAGATTCCAGAGAGCTTGGTTGTGGAAAACCCAAACCTAAGTCGAAATGGAGGATCAGATGGGGAGAGCCCTGTGGTCCAGGGGTTTTAGGGTCTCCTCCCCCAGCTCCTTCCTTAGGCTGCACCCTTCACCCAGCTC